CACACACACACACAGATTTGTTTTGCTATGATTGTGAGGACCTCGTACGTCCCTGAGAGGCAGGTGCACTCACCTGTGTGTTTCTCCTCAGGTGGTGTCATCCCGTCGACAGCGCCGGGTTCTTCTCCTTCATGACGTTTAATTGGCTGACTCCTCTGGCCATGCGTGCCCGCAGGAAGAAACAGCTCCTATTGGATGATGTCTGGCCTGTGTCGCAGCGGGAAAGCTGCCATGACAACAGCATGAGGTGGGAGGAGCTAATGAAGGCATGTTTTCCAAGCCTTTGGTCTGTATGTGTGTGTTACTGTGAGACTGTGTGTCCACAGGCTGTGGGCTCTCTGGGAGGAAGAGCAGAGGTCAAAGGGCACGAGCGCCTCTCTGTGCTCAGTGGTCTGGGCGTTCTGTAGGACACGCCTCCTCCTCTCCATCCTCTGCCTCGCCGTCACTCAGGTGGCCGGGTTCAGCGGGCCGGTGAGAACCTCAGAGCCAGAATCACGTTTGCTTTACTGCCATCGTGGTGTAACCAGTGACTCCGCCCCCCACAGGCGTTCGTGGTGAAGCGTCTGCTCGAATACACCCAACAGGAAGAGGCCGACCTGGGCTACGGGCTGCTGCTGGTTCTGGGTCTCCTCGCGGCGGAGCTGGTGCGGTCCTGGTCTCTGGCTCTGACCTGGGCCCTGAACTACCGGACCGGGACCAGACTGAGGGGAGCCATCCTCAGCCTGGCCTTCCAGAAGATCCTGCGTCTGCGCAGCATCAGGGACAAGTCTGTGGGACAGGTGTGGCTACCTGACTGTGCTGACTTTAATACTCTTGTTTTCTACTTCCTTTCACTCTGCTGTCATCTTTTGCTTCCTGTCAGCTGGTGAACATGTGCTCCAGTGACGGTCAGAGGATGTTTGAGGCGGCAGCCGTGGGCAGTTTGCTAGCAGGAGGCCCCCTGGTGGCCGTCCTCGGCGTTGCCTACAATCTGTTCATCCTGGGACCGACCTCTCTGCTGGGCTCCGCCGTCTTCATCCTTTTCTACCCAACCATGGTCAGTACCTTTAAAACTCGCCGAGTCTGAGTGAGTCTTTGACCTTTTGTGAGCCGCCTGTGCTCACCTGACTGCACCTGTGTTCTTCTAAATGATTGCTCTTTAACCCTTTCATGCATGAATTATGACTACCTCAGTCAAGAGTTTTTCTTAAGTATCTTTATTCATCTTGAGGCATGAAAAAAATATTTTTGAACTTCATTTTTTTAAACATGTACTTTTCAAAGACGTTTTTAGACGTCCACTCAGGTGGACAACATTACCTTTGGAGTGGGTGGCAGGTGTGGAGCGACACATCAGTGTTGTGTTTTATGTGCAGCATCAACACTCACACAAAGAAACAGCCTTTAGAGCTGTAGTGACCACTGTGTGTGAAAGGGTTAAAGGCGCTGAGACGGCGCTGTGACTGTGAGCTGTTTCTGTCCTTGAACGAGCCTCAGACGTGCTGCGGGTGCACCTATCGAGCCCGATCACGTGTATTGATGGCGATGTATTGATCTGCCATTAGATGCTCAGCTCGAGGATGACGGCGTATTTCAGGAGGAAGGGCACGGCCGTCACCGACAGGCGTGTTCAGAAGATGAACGAGATTCTCAGCTACATCAAGTTCATCAAGATGTACGCCTGGGTCAAAGCCTTCTCGCAGGACGTCCACCGTACGCGCTCACCTCACACGCGCTCAGCGGTTGCCACGGTAACACAGCCGAACACTCATCACGTCCGTGTTTCCTCTCAGGGATCCGGGACGAGGAGCGCAGGATCCTCGAGCTCACGGGATACTTCCAGAGCATCACAGTGGGCGTGGCTCCCATCGTTGTTGTCATCGCCAGCGTGGCGACATTCTCTGCCCACATGTTGCTAGGATACGACCTGACAGCTGCACAGGTACCGCAATTCATGTCCTCTCTGTGTCGGTTACCTGTCGACAGTCTGGTATGATAACAGATGCCCTTTCCCGTTACCCATCCAGGCCTTCACCGTGGTAACGGTGTTTAACGCCATGACCTTTGCCCTGAAGGTCACACCATTTTCTGTCAAGTCGCTGTCCGAGGCCTCCGTTGCTGTGGAAAGGTTCAAGGTTGGTTACTGACTTCGTGCACCTACGCCTGCATACTGCATGTTCACACCTGCACACACCTGTGCCTCCTCATCTATGCCCCGCCCTCCTTCCTCAGAGTCTCTTCCTGTTGCCTGAGGTCGATGGGGTCCGAGCGCTGCCGGTCAACCCTCAGGTTGCCGTGGAGATTAGCGGTGCCAGTCTGGCGTGGGAAGGAGGCGGACAGAGCGCTCAGCCCAGTCCGAGTGTGGGAGGGGCCAGCAGACACCGACAGAGAGAAAAGTAAACCCACGAGCTCGTGCTGATCAGCTGTATTGATCTGCCTGATCGCTGATGCACTCAGGTGTGTGTTTGTCCAGGTGCAGAGACTCGGCCGTCATCCAGGAGCAGGACGAGGAGGAGGTGAAGGACTCCCTGCTGAGAGGAGGAGAAGGAGGAGAGGAGAGGAGTCCGGAGGAGGAGGAAGACGGGGAGGCGTGTCCTCCATTGCTGCCCACCCCCTCCATCCCTCAGCGCCTGCAGAGCACGCTGCACAACATAAACCTGAGCATCCAGCAGGTATCCACCAATCAGTCGCACCTTAGCCCGAGTGGGGGCGTGGCATCAGTAGCATCTGAGCCTGAGTGGGGGTGGGACATCACTCACACCTGTCTGTCTGTGTGCTCAGGGGAAGCTGCTCGGCGTCTGTGGAAGTGTCGGCAGTGGAAAAACCTCGCTGGTTTCAGCCATCTTGGGACAGGTGATGTCTCCTTCCCCTGCTGTTGCCATGGTGATCCGTGTTGGTTGTTGGCCATCATCGGTCCATTATTAAACATTGATGTGTTGGCAGATGACGGTGCTGGAGGGCAGCGTGGCGGTCAAAGGGAGGCTGGCGTACGTGGCCCAGCAGGCCTGGATCCTGAACGCCACGCTCAGAGACAACATCCTGTTTGGGCTGGAGTATCAGGAGGACAGGTGAGGCAGAGACACCTGCACATCACACACTGACACACTGAGCTGGACGCCAAACAGGAAGTGACATCACCCAGTCAACAGAAGCCCTTCTGTTGTTCCACACTAACTCCGCCCCCTCTCTGCAGATATCAGTCTGTCATCAGCGCCTGCTGCCTCAGAACCGACCTCGCTCTTCTGCCCAGCGCTGACCTCACAGAGGTGACATCACTTCCTGTGTACCTGTGTGTAGATAGAAGGTTCTGGATGCGTCGTTTTATGTTGCTGTTTTCCTCCAATCAGATCGGAGAGCGTGGCGCCAACCTGAGTGGTGGGCAGCGGCAGCGAATCAGCTTGGCCCGCGCCCTCTACAGTGACCGGGATGTTTACATCCTGGACGACCCGCTGAGCGCCCTCGACACCCATGTGGCCAGCCACATCTTCCACAACGCCATAAGGAAGCAGCTTCGCCACAAGACCGTCATCTTCGTCACCCACCAGCTGCAGGTGAGCATCCTCGCCACCACTGAGCTTTTCTGCAGGTGGTTACCATGGAGATGACCTGTGTGTGTGTGTGTGTGTGTGTGTGGGCAGTATCTGGTGGACTGTGATGATGTCATCTTGATGAGGGAGGGGAGTATCGTGGAGCAGGGTAACCATGACAACCTGATGAAACTCAGTGGAGATTATGCCGCCATGTTTAACCTCTTCCTGCTCGGAGACAAACCACACATTG